CCAAGAACACAACACAATGTCCCCGGCCAGGGCTAAAACCTGGACTGCTTGAAACAGAAGTGAGCACACTAACCATGAGGCCACCATGCCCCCACACAGGTGGTATTAGGACAACCCTTTCCTTTTATTGAATGTAAAACAGACCCATAGAGGTTCTACTTCATAAATCAATCTACCACCCTCATTCATCAGTACTCAATTTTTGTTAAAGTTGTTTTACCTGCAACAACAATATTATCTCCTCAGAGCTTTATTATCTAGCTCTCTGCATGCACTGCAGGCCTATGATGCTCCCTCATCATAGGCCTGCAGTGCGTGCAGAGAGCTAGATAATAAAGCTCTGAGGAGCTAGTTAGTTAGGCGGCTGAGAGAAATTTCAGACCATCATCTGGTTCATTTGCTAAGCGTATCATTGCCATCTCCAGTAATAAGCAAGAAATGATTGATTGATTTTTCTTTTCTTAACAGTCTCTGGATGACTAATTTCATTAACAATGGAACAATTAACAAGAAAGGAAGGATCTTACTCTATCATAGCAAATGGTGGGTATGGCTTGAAGCTCTATTTCTTTTTAGTCAAATGTATATCTCCTAGTATGGGTCTGTTTTTGTGCATGATTAAACATTTTTCTGAGAACTCTTAAGTCCCAAATTCTTCTGGGAAACTATTTAAACTTATTAAGGGGCCAGAACTTGTGATCAGAGGATCAATCTTTTTCCAACATTTGTGATTCCTTGAATCTTTTACCATGTTTCTGATGTTTCCAATACTAACTTGGCAAATAGTGTACTGAAGGTTGCTTTAATTAACTTTCCTGACAGTATCATACCAACTGTTAAGAATCAGGTGGCTAAACTTGCTATGATTATCACTTGAGTTCTTCAAGATTTCACAACAACTTATTGATTTTTAGTGATTTCTTTTGTCAATATAAAGAGATTTTGCTCATCAAAACAGTATGTGATTTTCAAATTGGCATCTTGAGAATTTATCAAATTCCCAAACAAGGCATTAGGTTGGTACCTCTTTAGGGGTGAAAAAAATTCAAGCCACGCCCACAAAACAGGATCTTGGTACCTCTTAGAGGTTTTTTTCAAAATTTCCAATGAGCAACGGCGTCCTTTTGATAAAATTATTCCCCCTTTCTCCTGTCCCACACATTATGTCAGGCTGCAATAAAATAGCTCTAATATGTGGTCATGCTTTGCAAGGAAAATACTCAATTTACAAATATGATTGGCTAAAATCGATGTTGAATCAATATTTTCCCGTTTAGACCAACATCTAAATCACTCAACCTTTTACATTCGTTATCAGAAAACTTCAAACAAAAAAATTACAATATTATTTGGCTTGTTTCTAATAAAAAATACTAAATGAAAGAGCCCAAAAGTTGAAGAGAAAAAAGTTAACAAAACGAGCAAACTTTGATAAGTGAAAGTTCAACTCGAGCAATCAAAACACCAGCTGAAAACAAAATTGATAAGTTTTTGCCGGCATAGTCCTCAAGTAAAAAATACTCTATACAAGACTAGGACTGACTTAAACGCCTGACTGTAAGAAATTTTTTTTAGAGAATAAAAGAAGCTAGAGAAGTCAAAACGCACCTGTCAATGAGTTCGACCTTCTTCTGACAAAATTTTTTATTCCAATTGAAAGCAAAATGGTAGTGACTGCAAACCGGCTAATTCAAGTAACTTTCAGCGAATCGTTTCAGTTTCCTTGTTCGGCCAATTTATAATGGAATCTTATTAACCAAGCTTAGTCGCTCTGTATGGGAGAATCTTGACATACAGAATCTTGACCAAGGTCAAGATTCTCCCATACATGTACAAACCTTCTGCACGGT